TGTGATGCTCGTGAAAACAGACGCCAGAGAACTTTAGATGGGGATCCACACTGAATAGGTACATGCATTGGAAGCTTTCTAACCTTCAGCTGCAACCATGTTCCAAACCTGAAGCTCTCCTCAGCAGAGGCTATGAATTTTGCCCAGTTATTCAACCCTTCTGACATGAGAAACCCTTTAATAGGCACCACTAGAACCATAAATCTGGTGTAAATCTTCTATTTAAGGAACATATGAACTCTGCCTACCCATGTTTACATTCTGATAGATTCAACAACCAGGAAGTCCAGGAGTTTATTCCAAAACTGAATGACCCATGATGTCAGCAAATAAAGACGGTGAGTAATGCTGTAAAAGACTGATGTGTCTCATTCACAGTGAAAATGTGACTGCACTTTTTTACTGATTCTTTGTACTAACGCAAAACAAATAACTGCTGAAGTTTCTCAATCTTCATCTAAGTAAATTTTATATCTTCATTTTCTACACATGCCAATGCTGTAAATAAATTCATTGAGATTTATAACTTGAACATTAGCCATACAACTCACAAGTATTAATGAAAACGCAAGTCTAAAACAACTTTTCAAATTCAAATTATACCTTTTATTTGTCAAGAATGTCGTATCACTTTTCACAAAAGCTGCACAACATCCCACACTGCTTTTTTTTTTTTTTTCCCCCCCATTGAAAACCACTGCAGAGATTAAACATTTTTCAGGACAGGTCTAACACTAAAGGGAAAGATTGAACAAGATATGAAGAAGTCAACGTACCTCGTTTTGAGTTTTCCCATCATCCCCACAGTGGGGGTTCAATGGAAGAAAACACTCCCATCAGCTTCCCTTTCTCCTTATAGTAGCAAGGGTACCAACCGCTGATGGGGGCACCTTTAAGTTCAATTTAGTGGGTCTTAAGTAGACCCACTAAATCAAACCCCTGAAAATCAATCGCAGCAGCATCAATCTTTAATTTAGTGAAGACATGACCTTAGTTTGAATCCTTATTTTTAAATGTAGCACCTTCTTTAATTAAGTTTGACTTTTTAATTACAAGCACATTATACATCAGCCCCAAATCAGACAACTGCTATAAATATGGATCTTCCTGATTTAAATTTGACACAGTAGAATCAGATTTAATATTTGTGAGAACTACTTAGTGTATTTCAATGAGAAACAAGATGTGAAAAATTGTTCGAAGGCATATTAATATTTATTACAGAATGAGAATATTTTTAAAAAAATAATTTAATACTGCATTTTTTTAAATGAAGAGAGTTGTTATACTATGTGTTAGTCATCTAGAAATGCCCAGCAGGAGTATCATGCACTTGTAGAACAACAGTGATGAGGAGGGTAGAGGTGGAGAAACATTAAAAAAAAACCTTTTAGAGTAGCATAACAATCTAGTTTCAGAAAGTTACTGGCCATTAGCTTTGCACCCTTAACCAGTCATTAATGAAATATTTGTAGCCTCAAATATTAATCACTCATATTAGATATCAAGAGGTACTCAAATATCCCCCTATATTGGTGCCTACTAGATATAAAAACAAAATAAAGTTAAAGATAAGATATTTCCTCTGTTCGTTAGACAGATTCCTGTAACAATCCACCTTCTATTAATGAAGATTTAAGAAATCCAAATATTTACATAACAAATAATAAGAATTTATATAACAGTGCACACATTGAATATATAGATGCGTATGTCACATGTACAGATAGACAATAGCCCTTTACCTACCTGTTTCTTTCCTCTTCCAAAACACTTGTTTATGGAAAGTTCTTCTTGAATGACACATGCAAATACACAGAATAACTAAAATGCGTGGCTATCAAATCTGAAGAGGTGGTATGCATAGGGGTTCTTCTAATCAGTTTTGCCAAAAATCCTTCCATCTCCCTCTCCCAACCCATGCTGGATGCTGTCAACTATAGGATGCATTGACTGCTCATATCCATTAGACTCTATAAATCTGCATTAAATAAAACAGACTGCTGCAACCACCTTTAATACAAAAGTGCATCCCAATGAAACCTGTAGGTCCCAGCATGCAGTGCTTCCCCATGATCCCAGCTACTATGCTAGAATGCTGAAATTGAGAGAACTCTGCATGCTGGGACCCGTAGTCTCTTCAGGCTGTATTTAAAATTAGGGTGGTTCCTAAAATTTTATGCAGACAGGAGGTTGCATTCTGACCATTTGTAAGATTTCTCAGTGCTATTGACATGAGAAACTATATTAAATGGCCATTTTTCCATGAGCAGGATTTGGTGAATGTTTCCTCCATGGAATTAATACTCACCTGGTGGTTTCATGTAATATTGCTCAATATCAGACATGTCCGTATGCAGCGCACACTCGAGATAGCTGAGGATAACTTTTCTACTGAAGTAGTACCTCATACCCATCAGAAAGATGGGCAAACAGCAGGTCAGCAGCAAGGACTTGGTCACAACAAAGCATATTACTATGGAGATAAGGAAGAGAAATAAACGATACCTGTCAGAAAAGAGAATTTAGTGTTGATTTCGGAATATAAACCCATTAAAAAAAAAATCACAGACATAATATGCATTGATACAATATAAACAAAAACTAACCAATTTATATTTTCACAGTAACATATTTTGGATTAATAGCACATTATTCATGTAAAAACAGCCTGTAAAAAGTTTTAAGACTCCCACTTCACAAGTTACTTAAAATTTTGAAATATATTATCACATTTGATGAAGGATTTTGCACTGTGCTTCTGTAAAAAGAAAACCTCCCATCCAATTTGCTATAGTTCAGTACTCCTGCAAATATCACTGCGTCACACAAATATCAAAGGCAGATGGCTTCTTTATTAAGATATGTCTGCGATTACTCCTCAGACAAGATTTGACTGCATCACCAGTCCCTGCAGAGAAATCAAAGCACTAAAACCAAGATGCCCACATGTGGCCTTCCATCATCATCGCACTACAGGGAACAAAAGAAAGACTGTGACTAAGGAAGGTATTTTGCGCACATCACCTAATAGCTGCTTACTTATTATTTTGGTCACTGGAAGATAGGGACCTTCTGGAAAACTCATCCAAGAGCTGGCTATCCCAAAACCTTATACTAGCCTGTTTCAGTATCAGCAAGCAATGCAAGCCACTGAAAATAAAATAGCAGACAGCACTGAGATGACACACAAGTTGCTCCCATCATCACTTATCACTTTGAAAGCCTTGAATCTTAAGCAAAGATATTTTAGAAAGATCAAGCACAAAGGGGAGGCAATCAGACTTCACTGTTCTCAGATGCATTTAGTATCTTAATTACAACGTTACCTGATGATGACATTCCCTTCTCTCCCTGGCCCAGAAGGTGAAGGAACCAGCTGTGTTACCGCATGCAAAGAGCAAGGGCAGGGGCATAAGAGAGAGAGAAAAAAAGAGTCCACATGCTATTATCTTTGGGAGGGCTTTTTCCACTGAGGGCAACTGAGTTTATCTTGCAGATGTAACATTTTTTTCTGCTACTAAACAAGCAGCACGTGATCATGGGAACAATTAATTTTCTCGAGGCTGACAGCGAGTCAAGACAGGGATCCCTACGGTCTCAAGCTTTGTAACTTGCATGCAAACGGATGAAGGGCGAGGTTTAATTTAACAGCAAGGCACGCAGCTGTGCATTAATACTAACCCGGCAGCGCTTTGCAATACAGACTGGGCGGCTACAAGCCACATCTCGCCCCTAAAGGCGTCGCTGAGGTCAGGGCTCCGCGCGGCTGCATGCAGCAGGGCGACCCCCGCCGCTGTGTCTGCAGCCCAGGAGGTGGCGCGAGACCGCCCGGGTCAAACGTTCCCCAGCAGCCGCAGCCACTCGAACGCGTTCCGAGCCCGGCGGTCACTAGGTAACGCTGGAACCCGGCTCCAGCCGCCGCCCCGCCCAGGTGCCTCGAGACAGCGGCGCCGCTTCCATTCAGGGCTTCACCTCTCGCCGGCAGAGCGCAGCATCCCGGCCCGGAATAACAGGAAAGGCGGGTCTGTCTGCTGCCCGCCGGGACCCACCGCCTCCTCCCGCACCGGCAGGCCCAACCCCTCTCCTGCTTGGCTGAGCCGAGAAAG